AAAGACGCAGCTCCCAAGTCCCTGGCAGTGACAGTTTTCGCCGCTGCCTCTTTAATACTATGCTGTTGATGCACATGGTAGGATGCAACCTCTTGAGATATGGCGCACAGCATATGGACCAAGGTGGCTCTTTGCACCGCTGCCTGCTGCACACTCATGAATTATGGAATTTCGGCACAAATATGCAAATCTGGGCATTAGCCTAGTTATGCCCCTGTACTGTAAGTTACAGTGACTTATCTATTATGTATGAACCAAGGATTGGAGTGAAGAGGTCCTGGCAGCTGGCTTCACGGCCCTCAGTTGCTCACTTTCACACCATGAAAGAGTATGAATAGCAAGGGAGGTAGCTCCAAAACACTCCCTTTCTGCAGCTCCGCATCTCCATAGACTTGGGAGAATTAGAGTTTTCTTCCACGCTCAATTGCCAAGCTACTTAAAATAACAATGGCTTCCACAGGATTTGGGAGCCTGAGAGATACGTAGGGAATAAGCATGAAGTTGTTGCTAATCCTCTAATTTCCCCCCACAAGGCTGATATGAAATGCTAGTCTGATCAGTAATCAGTCCATGGGGGAGCCAGACAGGGGATCTAGCCAACTCTACAGGCACACACAAAAAAATCAGCCTCTGTATGACATTACCATCACAATGCAGGATGAGTGATTGTACTCGGCTGACCTAATCATAGCCGTGTAAATATCCAAAATCAAGAAGCCAGCAGGACTGAGAATCCGCTAGGTCAAACGGCTCCATTTTGAAATCATGCACATATTCTGCTCAGGCCGAGAGCATAATGAATAAGTCCTGCTGCGCTGAGATGAACGGAACCATCATTAGCTCGGATCAAAGTCACTCATCAGGCACATGACAGCTGACAATTACTATTTGACTAAGTGTAGGGGTAATAATGATACCTGGTCCTCGTGAACTTGGTCACCATAGAAACAAGAGGAAGCCACTCCTTCACACTGTCCCATTGTCACCAGTCCTGCTTGGTTCTAATAGGAGAATATTTACTACTAGTTAGACTGAAATCTGAGAAATTTAAACTATAATGATACTGCAGCTTTTGTGCCTAATTTACCATCTAAAGAAATTGTACATTTTTTGTGGAAACAGTGTCTAAGCCTCTGGGGGAGTGTTTCCATGGCAGTGTCTGACTGACATTTGGCAGCCAGCATTGCAAAGACAGGCACCATCACTGTGGTGCACTACCAAGTGAAACACTTCATAGCCTTGTACAGCCTACAAACATTAAAGGGGAGTAAGCAATGCTGGAGAAATACTGTTTATACGTGAACTCAACAACAAAGCAAATAGGCCACACCCCTCCCTTCAATGCTCACTCAGAAGCCCCGCCCTCCAAATTCGACACACACTGCCAAGGCAACGACACAATAGCTGAATTCAACAAACTTAACAAAGTTTATAATGTAAAACCTTATCAAACAACTGATGTGTACACAAACATCCCAAACACAATGGAGTAAAAACTAGCGAGAGTTAGTTGTTTAGACCATTTTTACGAAACCACAGTGGCAGAAGAGAGGGTTTGTAGCTAAGCTAACAAGGAAGGTAACATTAGCTGACATAGTAACCTCTTTAAAATTATGCATCCAACCAAATAAATCTACTGCGCTAGCAAACTTGTGTTTGGCTATACAATCCTTCACACTTTGTTAGGACAAATACCAGGATGTGCAACAAGCGAGAGAGCAAACTGTTGCTACAGTTGGTGCTGCAAAGTTAACATACAGAAAGGATGAGGTCGTTTCCCATAGCCAGCACAGCAGCCCAGTCAGTTTCTTTAAAGGCCCCTCCATGCGCCTGTCATTTGGGGTTTGGGTTGGTCCCAGTGGGTACGTCCAGGGTGGGATTTCTTTCCTAGTCTGGCTGTGCAGTCTCCACTGTTGGAGAGCCTCGCTGATGGTAACGTGACTTTCCATTCTTACCTAATCAAAGCACTTTTTTGCAATTTTTGTTCTTGTTCTGACCTTTTCCTCTCACTGTTCCTCACCCTTCTCTCCATCTTAACACTGCCATTATGTTGTGGCGTACACAACGCGGTGACACCACCATTGGTAAAACTCCATACAGATTGGCGGCAACAGAAGTGGAAACTGCTCCTTCTCCTTCCTCTGGTAATCCTTAAATTGGCAGATGCCAGATTTATCCTCTCTCACTCCCACTGCCCCCTTTCCTCCATCACCCAGGGATGTGTTGGAACAGCATTTTTTTTTTTTTTCCCCAGCACACAGAACGGACAGCTAGACGACCGTGAGGAGATATTCAGTGAATTTGACTAACCGTTACTCCATCCTTAATATGAGATGCTTTTCCCCCCTTTTCGAAAAGCCTACATGGTGTCAGAACTACCAGCAATGAGGAGTCCTCTGACCTCAGTGCCAACAGGTGGAATCATGGAGAAACATACAGCACTCTCAAATCACAGGTGGTACTACGCAGCAGCTAACAACAACAACAAGCCAGCTGGCTTCCTGCCTATGTGGCTGTTGGAATTAAAGTTATATTACAAACTATTTTTAGTGAGTGCCCACACAGATTTTGCACAAATCACACTACAGCACAGACAGTGTGAGTTGGAGCTAAAAATTTACTCTACTTGAGAAACAAAAATGTAGCTACTATCACTGGAGTAAAATAAGTGTAAAAAAAAAAAACCTTTCTTCGTTTCCTCTTTTTGAACAAATAAATGCACAAATAAAAACAAGTGCCAACTATATATAATCTAATTTCTTAGCAAACATGAATTTTAATTTTACTTGGATTTTAATACAGAAATTAAGCCCTTGAGATTGCATCGAGCAGATTGTACAGCAGAAAACATGAAAGTGCTTTTATCTCCTAATAAGGCAGAGAATCAACCAACAACCCCCAATCACAAAAGAGAAAAAAAGTCAGGAATTAATTTGCATTTTTAACAAATATTCCCGTATGCCACAGTTTTCATCCTCTAATTCAACAAACATAAGTTCATCAAATATTAATCCCATTCTCTTGTTATTTTCTATTGCTCCTGAATGGAAAAAAAAAAAAGTTGAGAAAAAGAAAATGCACTTTTGTTTTGTTGTCGTTCTCTTCCTCCCCCCTCTTTGCTCTAGTGGAGCCAACTGGATAAACTCCATCAAACAAAACATAATAACAGGAAATTGTACTCAAGAAACAGTTTCTCTCCCAGACAATTCCCTCCTCCTCTTTTCTATCCTTCCCACATGAAACTCTCCACGCATTATGGTGTATCATCCGCTGACCCTGTATATTTGTCCAGTCATACATCACCGAGACACCTTGAGTTTTCTTTGGGGATTTAGAAATCATAACGCCTCCCCAAACCACCATTGTCTTTACAGCCGCACTCAGAAACATTTATTGTCTCTAACCTCACCTTTACTTATGCGTTTGGTTCAAACACAAGTGGAAGAAAAAAAAAAATAAAAATCTGTCCCAGTTCAGCTGCAGATGAACAGTGGCCCCATTCATGTTGATTAGTCGGGTATGAAAATAACGAGGGCGACCCCTCTTTCATATTGACCTTTTGACCAATTTAATTTCTCACTACAAGAACGGCCTTTCAATTTAATTTTTTTTTTTTTTTTGCATTAATTGTATTACGTGTTATATTTCTACTGATTTTAACACATCCGCCCTTTGATTAAAAGTGTACTCAGATTTTTTGCTTATAATTAATTCAGCGCAGATCTTTCATTTTTAAGATTTTTAATATCTTGTGCATTCAAAGTGAATGGAGGAAGGAACATTTTCTCAGGTAAATTTACAGTTCGATCCTAAAGGCCACTGAGTGCATGTGCATGTTACCCTTTAGAGTAACTACACAGCATCCCTCAAAGTAATGAGCAGTCTACTTACACAAAGAAACTGAGAGAACATTAACACCCCCACCCCGCATTCAGGAACATGGTTGCTAAGCGCTGCCTATGACTAAAGACAGCAAAAGCATGAACCTTTTTTAAACACTCACCAATTAAAGCCCACTTTTAGCCATGGGACAGGATGGGGCTGCTGCTGGAAAAAAAAAACAAACAGTATGTTTCATTTGAATTTCATCAGAGAACTTATTCCAGTCAAACACCGGCTTATGCCTTTGAGAAATCCTGCAGCTTCAAGCACCAGCTCACATAGGCCAACACCCACATGCTCATAATTAAAGGTGAATTGCACAGCCTGTGGCAATTTGCATCCTACTGGAGTTTCACTAGGTAAGTCTGATGCCAGATATAGGAGACGTGGTACAGAGGGAAACACAATACGAGGCTTACATCAAAGCTGCATTTAACCAAGACAGTGGCAGTTGTAGTTGTACATGCCTGATTAAGTCTGCCCTGTGACTTGAGCACATACTGTAGGCTAACATCAAGATAAACTATGACATCTTTCAGTTCACATCCACCAGCCTTCAGCACCGAGAGCACAACTTCTATGAATGTCTGTTTCAGCTTTGAATCTATTTTCAACTTTGGGCGTTTCAGTCAAAACTTTTATTGCCTTAACATGTTAATGTGAAGTTGAATTTAAACGCCACAGCCCATGGGATCTGCAAATGATTTTTCTCCAGGGAGCTTATAAAGCTAATTTATTGGATGTAGCATTTTAATTAGTTTGATCAATACTCTATTACAGAGGATTTAAATGTGAACTGCAGGGAAAAGGCAAGGCACTCATTTCACATGAATGAATGATCATGTTTCAAAATGCCAGAGATTCAGCTTGCAGCAAGGCGATACTGGATTTACTCGGTTGCTTAATAATTGATAAATTAAACGCCCATGAACTCAAACGCATAAAATATCCTTTTGTCAGACGCTGGAGAGTCAAGTGTTGCATAAAAACATGTGTATGTGTGTGTGTCTGTGTGTGTGTGTGTGTGTGAGAGAGAGAGAGAGAGAGAGAGAGAGAGCCGCCGCCGCGTTGTTCCGGAGCAGTGTATTTCACACAGACAAAGTAGAGGAAATCCTTACGGAAAATCTGGTTACCTCGCGCGGGGGGTTCGGTGAGGATCTCAGCGCGCCTCTTGGGTTTGATTTGATCTCAGGAGCGGAGGATGATGATGGTGATGCTGAAGCATGGAGCGCACTTCTGCGCACCGCCGGTCCACATAGAAGAAAAGCTTCGGTCTCTCCTCTTGGCCACTCTCATCACTGATTCATCTGAAAGCAGACACCAGATGGGGGAACGGAGTCCTTGATTATTCAAAGTGGATAACTCGACTCCGTCTCCGGCTCACGCAGGCGAGCCAGTGTAGGCTATTGAAACGCGGATAGAGTTGTGCCCTAGCCGTTGCCTTGCATAGCAGACTGGAGGGAGCGGGGAGGAGCCGTCTGCCGTCAGATGATCAGGGCAAGGTGTTCTCCTCTCTGATACTCTGCAATCCGCAGCCTTAGCAGAGCTGCAGTTCAGACTTTAACACTAATCCTATCTAATCATCGACTTTCCGCGGGAAATGCTACTTACACTGCCACTCATACGTCTATGGATATATTGTGTTAATGCACATCTGTGGCAAAGTGACATAATGAATTATTTTAGCTTAATGCAAAATCTAAATCTCTGGGAGGCCTATACTATTATATTAATATGCCCAACGACTAAAAATGTTTATATGAATACCTTGGAGAAAATCTGACGCACAGAACTGCATAGATTTTATTAAAGGTACAGATTTTACTCATGAAGTTGAGTTCACTCCTCATCAGAGCTGCCTCAGTCTGGGCTTCAACTTCACGTTTGAACAAGGGGGTGATGGAATATCTTTTAAAAATGGGATGGGCAGTCTTTCCAGGAAGACATGTATAGTGCTGCATTCATTTGTTGGCACAAAAAGTACCACAAATAGTTATGCAGGAACAGGGGCACTGCCAGGGATTTTGGGCACCATGAAAAGAAATCACATCGGGCCCCACCACCACCGCTCACTCCAACCCTGAGAATATAACACTGTGCAGACATGTTGAATACAGTGGAATTCACAATTTGATGCAAGATGCAATTCCCTCTATGAATAATGTGCTAAGGGCTATCTTATATAATTGAGATCTCTTTATCATTGAAAAGGATTTAATCATTTTTCTTCTTCTAGTGCTGCTCACCTTCAGTTGGAAGTAGTGCTGGTTCATTGGTAGGGATTTGGGAATGGGGAGACAGGGGCTGCTGCAGAGTCTGAAGCTGCCTCTGTTGGACCTGGCACCAGGCTGACTTAGTATGAATAGTTTTTTAAACATTGAATTTTCTGCCAAAATATTAAGTAACTGATGTTAGTGATGGTAAAGTAGCCTCTTTCACTTTGAACTAAGCTAACCCACCTGCCTGTAAAAGTTGGGCATATTAGCATGAGAGTCAATGAAGTCTGACTCGCTTTTGGAGCCAGCCTGAAGTGGTCATTCAAAGAACTACAGTTTTTGGCTCTTCCATGATGGCTTAATTTTTCAGTGCCGGAGGGTCCCGCTTGATCATGATGCATCACTGGCTCCTCACTCGCAATTCACTGCGAGCAAGTCGCTTACCGTGCTACCTGGTTTTCATGTTAATAGTTCCCATGCTCAACCATGCAACAAGCAGCTCTGAAACAATATACTGGCCTCTTACATGTGTCAGTATACTCCAACCAAATCGCTTGTTTACCCCACACACATTATCATAGGCACATTATCACACTGAAGTCATTCTCTTACCCTCTGTCAACGTCTGCTGGAGTCTGTAGGTCTAAAAACAGACTCATCACCTCGCAGGCGGGACAGAACATCTGAAAAAGACAAAGCTCTTTTACAAAGAAACGGTCAGATATGCCTGGGAGCGACATGCAAATCCAAATTCCCCATTCATAATGGAAGTGTATGCGTGTGCCTGACATCCCCATTGACTGCACCGACTACTTCCTGCAGGAGACCGTCTCAGAAACCTGGCTGCTGTAGCCGGATGCCTAAAAGGAGAGACAAAGAGAGGGCGAGCAAATGAAACATTTATATTTTCGGCAGCTCAGTCCACCTTTAGAGAGAGAGGGAGGGCGAAAGACAGAGATCATACTTGATTGCTTAAAAATGTATGGTGTTTGTAGGGCAAAAGATGGCAAGCTGTATGCACATCTTAACGCTGAGAAACGGGGACACTGAGCAAGCCACAGCCTCGTCAGCACCAGCAGGTCTGGCATGGGAATCCAAATCTGAAAAGAAAGTCAGTTTTAGCTTTAATTGAGCACAAAAGAGCACTCTCAAGTGATGGGGTAACAGTTTGAGGACTAAAATTCTGTCTTTCTTAATAAAATATGGTGCTGTGCCAGATGAAAATGTTGGGATATGGGAAATCTAGGACCCCAAGGGTTTCTGACCCGACTTTGAGGAGTAGTGGGGTATAAGAGCTGGGAATACTTGCAGGCTGTACTTTTGCAGCGTGCAGATGTGTTTGATAATTTATCAGGCGCCCGTTCTCCGAGAGGCAGCGTTAACGTACAGCCCACAGCTTTCAGCATACCTTGAGTCATGGCGTCTCATGCTCAAAATGAACTTTTCATGCTGACTCAGTGATATTTTTGATAGATATTTGAAAAGCATATCCTTAATATTGTTAACTTTTAAGGGAGACTCTAAGATTAAATCTGCAGTGCAAGCTCGGGATTTTATAACTTTCTTATTCGTTTCACTTCTATTTTACCCCACTTGTTCTCTTTCTCCTCTCTGGATCATTGCAGGATGGATTATATGTGAACTGACCCCTACATGCATAAAATCACACGCCAGTATCTCCTCTACAGTTGCCCTTTTATGTAATTTGAGTGTGCTGTGTTCACCGTGGCTGTGTTGTGTAATCTGCCTCCACGACACAACCAGAGAGCCGCACCAGTGCTGTTCAGACTCGTCCCATTCTGATGAAATTTTCATTGAGCAGAGGAAGCTGAGCATAGTTTCATAATTCCCCAGCGTGTTGCATCAGCTTGTACTGATATCGTTCTATCAGGCCCCACTAAGAGCGTATTTGATGTCTTGATAGCTCAGAGAACCTATTCAGTTTGACGGTGATCCTCCCCTTCTCACTTCACGGTGCGTGTACTATATTGCACCATGTTGTTTTGAGTAGACGTGGGACTTTTCAGCGTCTCAGCTGTCAATAGAATGATGCTCTCCAGTTGAAGTGAAAGGAGGATGACCAACTTTAAAGGAATGCCCGACAGGGATTCGGCTGCTGGGATATCTTATGTGAACAAGAGAAAGCAGATATAACAATAATGATTTCTTTGAAAGCGTATGTTAGAGGGATCCATCAATAACTGTTACTGCAGGGATTCAAACGTTCCCATTGCTTTTTGATGTACAGAATTGAATCCCTGCAGAAGAGTGTGGTTGAAATTTAACGCTGATTCAACTATGTAGAGATGCTTGAGCTTCCTGTTTGGCTCAAGCGGGGACAGAGATGATGATTTGTTCAGTAATACATCATCACTTGCCAATGGAGCTGGTTACCATATTTCCTTTTCAGTACTTCTGAAAAGTTAGAACATCTTGCATCACTTCAAACATGTTCAGATGCTTTAATGTTGGATTGAAAACAATGAAATGTTTCTGTTGCTCTTGGGACAGTGTGTCTTGCCAAACTGTTGCAACCGTGGCATATGCTTCATGTTTATTTAAACATCGGGAAATCAGAAGAGGCTCTTGGTTAACACTGGGCCCATCTGACAGTTTCCATTACATTTCATGTCCTTAAAACTGTTTTTCTTTCAAAAATATTTCAAAACTGGAAAAAAAAAGAATTCTCTTCTGCAATTCCTTTCACCTCAAGGATTTTACCTGCATTTACCTCGCTATTTCTTGCTTGATGCATGAAGTGCATGAGTGCTTAAACTGATGTATGCCAATTTAAAGTTGTGTTGGAGTGGTCAGGTTTGTGCCAATGATGCAAAGCAAAATTTGCGCTTGTGTCTTTCCAGTTCATGTTTATTCGGTCCAAACAGCCCAGTGTACCAGCTGTACAGAAGTTAGCTGTCCATAGCTAACGACGTACACACAGAACCTGCGTGCATGGTCATGTGATATGCGTTTACAGGTGTGATAGTCTGGACACAATTTGTTTCTGATATGGAGCTAAAACACTCATCTGGATGTAAATCATGGGTGTGAGTTTGTCACTACAAGCAACCTCTCCTACATTACTAATACACTTAATTCATAGTTATAAAAAACAAAAAAAACATTGGTTAGTGCAGCTAAAATCCACGGTAGCTAGAGGGAATTTATCGCCCAATGCCTTTTGATATAAGGACACCACCTGTGAAATGGACAGGTTCAGTCTGAATCTTTACAATGTTTTACAGTCTAAAAAATTCAAAAAGGACATGAACTTTTTCAAAAGACTCAAAGCTCCATTGTGACTCTATGAGAAACTCTCCAGGTGATTTATTGTGACTGCTCAGCTGCTACTTGCTGAATATGCAGAGAACAACTCTGTTAAGTAGGAACCACCACAGACATCGACGTGACTCAGTCACCATGGTCACAGAAGAGGCCACCCCATAAATTTCTCATATGGCGATGAAACACTTTACTTTCCTGGAAGATTGCACCCGGAGCTGTGACCTCCCACTTCTTCTGCTCATTGACCTATGACTACTGATGAGTCAAACCCCAGAGCGCTCTGATTATCCCGTGAACTAAGCCAAATCACGGAGGAGTGTCAGGTGTTGACCTGTGAGGTATGTTTGAGGCACGTGCTGCATTGTCTCACTGTGGAGCTCAAGAAGCATCAAAACAGATGAGTGCTGAATGTGAATCTGACTTCAAAGAAATGTAATATTAGATACATCTTAGAAGAATAATTTGACATTTCAGGAAATACACATTTTTCTTGCTGAAAGGCAGATAAGAAGTTTGACATTTGACTTTGAGCTAAATATGAAAGAGATGGTTAGCTTAGCCTGGCATAAAGACTGGAAACAGTATCTCCTTTACCCCAACCCCCACCCCTGGTTTTTGTCCAGGTTTAACCTTGAAAAATTTTGAGTTAAGCAGTGAGCTTTAGAGGTGCTGCTAGGCAATTATTTTTTTTACCCTAGCCAGGCAAGCTGTTTCACCCTGTTTCCAGTCTTTAGCTGTGTCCCAATTCAGGGGCCGTATCCTTCAAATTTGAAGACCAATTGTGTCACAGTGGCGCGGCTAGGCTGTCCCATTTTGACGGTTCCTTCAAATGCGTCCTTCTTTTCCCTGGCAACGAAGGCTCCAACGAGTGGTTCCTTCATGGCCAAACCTATCCCAAGATTCATTGCACACTGGTAATGAAAATAATATGGC